GTTCCCAAAAAGTTGATAAGTCACTTGCTGGCACACTGATGGGTACCTTAACCACCGAAATTTGATGGTTCTCATACTATATATAAGCATGTTACTAAAATGAATAACGTCAGCAGGACTTAGTCCATTCCATATGAAATATGATACCTCAAAGGATAATTGGAATGTGAATGTATTGCACAATATGCTCGTGCAAGAGGAGACAAAGCTTAAGAATCAAGGAACTCATTTTGTTCATCTCGTAAGTCATCAAAGATCTGGAGAGAAATATAAGAAAAGATTTGGAAAGGGCATTAAGAAAGAACCATTAAAGATAAATGAGTATTTTGCCCAAATCCACAAAATAAGGAACACAGGAAACATATGTGTCATTTCTGTCGCAAACATGTGCACCATAAAAGGAACTATCTGAAACATAAGGTGTGGTTCAAAAGTAAGGTGAGATTATTTTTTATGTATGATTTTAATCTAATTAGGTAGAAGTTCCTTATAATACTTGGCTGATTGATTCTGAATAAACCGCTAATGTTACCAATATGATGCAGGAATCTCTTTTTATCCAGACCATAAATTCAAATGAAAAGTTTGTTCTCATGGAAAATCGAGTCAAAGCTCCGGTTAAAAGCCATTGGAACCTATTAGTTGATTTTAGATACTAGACATTATTTAGATTTATTTTAAACTCTTTATATACATTCTATTTCTCATAATTTAGTTTCTTTATTGAGATGATGTTTGGTATGGATTAAAATTATATTTTTTTAATAGATTATGATAGAAGTTTTTGAAATGTGTGTTTGAAAAATTGTGGGACCCATGAAAGATATGATTAAAATTGATTGTTTGACTTTGACTTAAATTAAAATCAGATTTTAATCCGAACCAAACATGTTCTGAAACTTAATTTTGCCAGATATTTTTGTAATGGTGGAAATGGATGTTTTAATTTGTTTAAACAAAATCATCTTATTGGTTCTACTATTTTTTGTGATGACTTATATAAATTAAAGCTTGATAACTTGTTTTGCCGAGACTCTTTTATTTTGCATCATAATGTTGGTATTAAATGTGGTTTGTTAAATAAACGATTTGCTAACTTGTGGTATACACGTTTGGGTCACATATCCAAGGAAAAGAATAGAAAGATTTGTAAATAATGAAATCCTTCATGACTTGAATTTTAGTAATTTTGGAACTTTTGTGAATTGTATAAATGGTAAACAAACCAAACGCACAAAGAAATGAGCCGCAATAAGCACACAACTTCTTGAGATAATACATATTTATATATATCAGCATTTTGATGTTCCATCTTTTGGTGGAGAAAATTATTTTATCACATTTATTGAAGATTTTTCACGTTATTGTTATGTTTATCTACTGCATGAAAAGTCTCAAGCTGTAAAGGCTTTAGAGATCTTTGTCAATGAAGTTGAACGGTAATTAGAAAGAAAAGTGAAGATTATTAGATCTGATAGATGTGGTGAATATTATGGATGTCATATGTTCTCAATACACTATGCCAAGCACACTACGCCAAGCACACTACAACAAAAAGGTGTGGTTTTGAAAGACATAATTGTACTTTAATAAAAATGGTTAGGTGTATTTTAAGCAATTCGTCTTTATTCATTTATTTGTAGATGTTTGCACTAAATATTGTTATGTATTTGCAAAATAGGATTCCGAGTAAGGCAGTTCCAAAGACTCTTTTGAAATGTGAACGGGAAAGGAAACACAATTTAAGACATCTGCATGTTTGGCGTTGTTTGATAGAAGCAAGAATTTATAATCCACATGAAAAGAAATTGGACTCAACAACAGTCAGTGGATTTTTCATTAGTTATCCCAAAAAATCAAAGGGGTATAGATTTTATTGTTTTAACCATAGTATTAAAATTGTTGAAACTGAAAATGTTAGGTTCATTGAGAATGGTGAAGTTAGTGGGATTTTGGAACCAAGAAATATGGAAATACGAAGAGTTCAAATATCTCTACCCTCAACTTCTTCTAATATTGTTGTCATTCAAATTGTTGAATGGTATGACAATTTGCCAGAACAACAAATAAATGATCAAACACTTAAGTTGTTACTGATGAACCTGAACTAAATGAACCACAAGAGATTGCATTAAGAATGTCATAAAGACAAAGTAGACCTGCTATTTCTGATAATTATGTGGTTTACCTGCAAGAGTTTAAATTTGACTTGAGAATTATTGATGATGATCCAATTTCATATTTGCAGGCTTCTGATAAGTTATTAGATACAATGAAATATGAGTTGAAATCTAAATATATATCATTTAGATCTTGGGTATCACCTTCCTTTGAGAAAAAAACTAAACACAAGTCAACTAAAAAATATTTTAGTTAATCACATAATCAAATTAGATGAGTTGTTAAAAACAACTAAATTTCCGATAAACATGAAGGGGCTCACTCGGTGCCTTTCTTCTCGAGATTTCGGAACTGTTCAGGAGAAAGAATTGCATGCCATTGCTCTTCGAACTTTGAAGTCGAACCCAGGTGCCGCCATGGCCACGACCCCACCTCTAAAGCCTCAATGGTGTGTTAAAACCCACTCAATACACTCGAGGTTTTGCAATATTTTTTAGGTTTCGCAAATGAAAAAGGATCTGTGATGGGAATTAAAAAGGAAAAATTTCATAAGTAAGAGATCAAGTATGACATATTTCAAAATTAAGAAAATAAGTTTTAAATTTCAAAAATTAGACTTTTTTAAAAATTTTATTTATGATTTAGTTAATTTATTAATTAAATGTATTTAGGTCACATATCTATACAATTTGATCACAAATTAATAATTTATTTAGTTACTTATTATTTTTTGGTTACAAATCAAAAATTTTATGTCACAAATTATTTTACGATCACAATTCGAAAATTTTGTTGTCACGTTTGTTCGTCGGTCACAAATAAAAAAAAATTAATTAGTCATAAATTAATTTTTAATCACGACTTATAAAATTATTGGTCAAAACTTATTTTTCGTTCACAAATCAAAAATTTTAAAGGTCGCATATTATTTTTCGGTAACGATCAAAAAATTTATAGGTCACAGATTTTTCATTAGTCACAACTCATTTATTCATTGCAAATTATTAGATTAATTGTTTGGTTTGTGAGTCACAGTCATAAATTTTAGGTTATATATTGTAAATTCATCAATTGTTAGTCACAATCAATCAAATAATTGGTTACAAACATCCAACCTCATTTCTTCCCACCAATGACCACCTTCGTGACCGCCACATTTACCATCACTATCACCATTATCGCCACCATAACAACGGAGCACCGTCGCCAACAAAGCCACTATCACCTTATAACAACCTATCAACACCACAACACTCCAACAGATTCATCACCACAACAAATATATGAAGATCACAATTCTATACAATTTAGTCATTTTGATCACAATAAAAATATTTATAGGAAACAAATTATTTCACGGTCACAAATTAAAAATTTTATATTTCACAATTTATTCATCGATCACAATTTTATCAAATTAATAGGTCACAAATAACAAATTTTACAAATTACAACTTATTTTATGGTCACAAAATATATAATTAATTAGTCACAAATTATCAAATTATTGGTCACAACTTAACAAATTTCAAGTTACGCTTTATCTATTGGTCACAAATTAATTATTTCATTGGTCACAAGCATAGTTATTAAAACCGGCATAGCCCAAACGGTCGACCCGATAAGCCGATGACCCGGGCCCTTGACCAAGCCGGCCAGATTATTTTATATAAATGCAAGTGGCCTGATCAAAATTCGAATTTTGACTAGGCCATTAGGTGATTTTTGAATAATTTTCGAGCCGATTCAATCCGGTTCGACCCAATTTTTAAACCAAATTTCAAAACTCTTTTACATTCAAATTGTAAACACTAGAACACAACCTTATCACTAGTGCAAGCAATACTTTCTTTTTTTTTGTTTAATAAATTATATCTAACCTATGAGTAATTTGCTACTTTTAGAAACTTTTTAAAGAAATTAGTCCAACATCTACAGTCACTTTGTAATTTCAAATAATTATTTTATATACTTATTTTGTTTGAAGAAAATTAATTTTAACTAAGATAAATTAAATAGATAATACACAAAATTTTTGTGAATAACTAATAAATAATTTGTAAATCACAAAAAAGAATTTTTTTTTTATAATATACAAAATTATAAAATTAAAATTTAGCCATTATCACTAATAAATGAGTTCAAAAAATCATTAATTTAATGTATAGAAAAATTAGCGAGAAAAAACTTGAAAACTTTAATTTTGTCTCAAACAAAAAAGTAAAAAATAAAAAATTATTTTTAAGTAATGACCCACCGATTTATCTGTCCAACTAGTAACCCAGTGACCCAGTATTTTGATTGGGTCGATGTTCGAGCCGAATCTGATAACTATGGTCACAAGTTAACCAATTTATCAGTCACACATTAGCCACCTCATGACAACCGCCACCGCCTCCATCTCTACCATCTCAAACAAACCAACACTACCAACAAAAACCACGACTACACCACCACCACCGCTACCACTTTAATCGTATCACCACACACAATGGTTTCCATACACACAAAATAGCACACATACACCCGCAAATCGTCCCATCAGCACTCAACTCATATCGCGCACCACCTTCACCAACAATTAGTTAACTTACCATCATCGCCACCTCTACATCGCACTAATAACCTTCAACACTACAACAAACGGGATGAAGAAAAAATGAGTTAAATGTTTCGTTAGCCACTGAACTTTGGGCTATGTCACGACATACCCACCGAATTTACAAAATTGTCTCATTGGCTACTGAACTTCAATCCGTTACTGCCCATTACCCACTGGCTCAAATCCGTCAATTGACATGTCTACGTGGCAGACGGAAAATCTAGTTGGCCCGTTAAATTCTTACAAGTGTTAAATGATTTGCCAAATAATGTACCACGTCAGCATTTAACTCACGACTTTCCCCAAATCACGCCTTTCACTGAAAACATTTCTCCCAAGTCAGATCATCTTCCCCAAAATCTTCACTCAAGAACCCTAGGTGAGAACCATCTTCTCCAGTATCTGTCAAACCCTTGGTTCTTGAAATCCAGTGCTCCCAAATCTCACGCGAAGTCATCTGCGTTAATTCAAAATCCAAACCCCTGGGCGTGAAATCAACTTCCTCCAAGTCAATTGTTGTAGGTCGCGATCCTCAATTTATTCAATCAGCGAGAACAGTGTGAGGAAACCCAACATCCGACCGGCAGGATACAGTTATCAAGTCTTCGTTGGAGCGCGATCGTGATTTGAATTGCATTGAAGGTAAAGCAATGAAAGAAGAAGACATACTCGGTTTTTTTTTTTTTTTTTTAAATTATATTCTGAAAATCACACTAATGGAAATATAGACATCGAACATTCTCACTGGTGCAACTTTCGATGAATCCCTGTTTGAATTGATTGGAAAGGTAATGCAAATCAGTTTCATTAGCCTTACTGTACTGACAAGCATGTTTTTAGTTGTTATTATTATTATTAATTTTTTTTTATTTTGGGGAAAATCTGATTTTCAATTTGTTCCTTAGTTTAAGACTTCCTTAAGCTTGTTGATTATCTACATTATCTGAATTTGGTAATTGCATTTGTAATCATTATCCTAAGCCTTTGTCTACCGTTCATGGTAATAGGAATTGGGACTGGTTGTGCATGGAAACAGCTTCATTAAATTGTGAAGTAGATATACCACACCAACAATTCGAAGCAGATCAAGGATGGAACAATTGTGAAGCGGCCATGTACTAACGTCGACAGTTCAGTGGCTATTGTTTCAACTGAATTTGTATTTTGTAATGTCCAATGTTTTGCTTTTGGCATGTAAATTGACGTCAGATTGGGATGTTACAATGTTGTTGAGATAGAACATATTCACATTAATGAAATCAGTGTATTGTTGCTGCCATGACTATTTAAAGCACTAGATGTTGAGATGAATGATGTTTAAAGCACTTGATGAAATCAGTATGTTGCTGTTTAAAGCACTCCGTTGGTTCTTGTTGATGTGTCCAACCGATGATGTGAACTTTGAAGATGTCGTTGACGACGTGATTTACAGCAAGCTCCAACTTTCAGTCTTTCAGTTTTTGGGGTGATTCAAGTGATACATCCGATGATGAACTGGAGTTATCAAGTTTGTTGAAGAGCGTTATTAAAATAACTGAAGAAAAGGACGTGGACATCTCCGTCAAATTTACTTTCCGCAAGGGAGAAGGAGAAGAGCAACGGGAAACCAAATGGAGGAGCTTTGTGAACTTGAACTGCTCATGTTTAAATTTTTTTGTAGGCTTGAAAATTAAGAAGTAGCTCAATCCCAGGAACTTCAATTTCGCATATGTAATTTGAAGTGTGTAGTACCCCAATGAAACGACTATGTTATTTTATATGAATGTAATTTGGATGCATGGCAATGAACATGTTATTTTATATCAGAACGTGAATGCACATTTTATGAAATATTTCAATTTGATCAACTTCCTATACTGATTTTTGAGGACTCATTGATGTCAGCCTGTGATGCCAAAGTCAGACTTTGACTATGGAAAAAAACTACCTTATGTTCAACTTTGACAAACAACAAATCATTCAGTTAAAAATTTATTTACTTTCATTTAAAGCGGACTTGAGTGTCCTGCTGTTCCTAAGAGGCAAAATCCACGCATACAAGTCAAGAGAATTATCAAGTGGACCTGATTGTTTGCTTCCTGTGCAGTCAAGAAGAAAATAGACCTGATTTACACCAAAAAATCAGGTTTACACCAAAAGAAAAAAAAACCTTGACACTCCCTATTTGAAACCTGATTTTTGTTGACACAGTTGGGAAATATTCACAAACTGGTGATTTAACTTCAGTACTGGCTGGAGTGAAATTTACCATAAGGTGAGGTTTTTTGTTACAGATACAGATTAACTTGTAGCTACTTTTCCCAACTAATATGAGGACATCACAACAAATATTCAGCAGCAGCTCAAGAAAACCTCATCAAATTTCAATCTCCAGTCATACACTAACAAACTCATAAATCACATCAACATATTCATTGCCATGCATCCAACTCAAAGCACTTAAAATCTGTGTACACAGCATTTTGAATTTTGTGATTTACTAGTGAAAAACATAACTATTTGCCTTAATTGCAGTACATAAACACTTGCTTTAATTGCAGTACATACACCAGAAAACAAAAAGATTGGTTTAATTGCAGTATATAACCGTCAATGCAAAACATTTGTTGCCAGGTTTTGCTCCAATTTCCTCATGAACCAACCCTAACCACTATCCACAAACACCCAACTTCAGGGACTGCTGGCACATAATATGCAGCAACATACACCAATAAACAAAAATATGGGACTGCTGTCACATAGTTGATCGTCACTGCTGTCCCAATTTCGCAGATTTCCTCCTAGGACGTGCTCGTGCCTTGGCCTTTCCCAATTTGTCCGATTCCAGTCCTGCCGTGTCCTGCATGTCGTGAATGGTGTCGTCGAAGTTCACATTTACGACGGGAACTTGATGGTCGCCTGTTGCATTCCAATGAGTTGCTGCTGGTCCCTCTCGAAAACGTCCTGGCCAAGATTCATGTTCCACAGTAGGTGTTGGTCCCGGAGATTCATTACAATGAAGGAGGTTCGGCTGACAAGAAAAATGAAGGAAAATTCAACTTAGTGTTTTCAATTCAAATAAAAAAATTCGACCTCATAAATCCCAAAAAAAATACGATTCATACATATCGAGATGGAGCAACAAAAAAAAAAAAAAAACAGAATATGGCACACGGATAGGTACTTCCAATAGATTCAAATAACAAAAAAAAATCAGCCAAGGCACCCCAACATTGCGAAATTACCTTCATCTGAAACTTCCATGTACACGCCTTCCAGAATGTACCACAATGACAGAGTGTTCACTCAAATACTTCGCAACTCCATTTCGCGGGTAGGGTTCTTCAATAAAGGTGGCCACCGTAACTGAGTAAATTTGCCCAAATGGTTGGTTAGGGTTCTTGAGTAAATTTGCCCGACTGTTTGTATTCTTGAAGTTCAGTTTGGGGATTGGGTGATTTGGGGAATTATGGTGGATTTTGGGGAGTTAAATGGTATTCAGGAACGAGAGGGATGAATTGGAGGGGAATTATGTGATTTAAGTCCAGAATGACGAATTTGAAGTCGGGATTAGACTGTTTGGATGTGTTTTTGCCAACCTGGACAGTGCGTTGGCACTTCAATCGCCACTTGGAAACATTTAACCGGCCAGCAATGTTTTCCGTCGTCCACGTCATCACGTTTACTAACAGTTGTCTTCCGGTGGGTGATGGAGATGGACGGTGCAAAGTTCAATGGCCAACGGGACGATTTGTGAAGTTCAATGGCTAAATCGTGACATGACATCAAGTTCGGTGGCCAATGAAACATTTAACTCAGAAAAAACAGAGGTTGACTCGAAATACACCCAAATTTTCCCGGATCAACTAATTGAGGGTTTTATCTAACTACTAAAAACATCCCAAAATCATTTTCGCACACTAGACTCATCACCAAAAGGTCCAGCCCTGAATCGATCAAAATACCATCCAAATCGAAAATCCATACCGCATCAGCCAACATCAACGATGCCACCACCCAATTCGACCCAGCACCGACTCCATGGATCCGATCTCTTGCATCTTAAAGGTCCTCCTCACTACACAAAACTTGCTCGAAAAGACCCGATGTGCGACAACCGTGCGAAACGGTTGCTGCGTGCAGTGGCAGGAGCACATCATTGCAACAACGCTAACGCCACTACATCAGTGATGTNGGGTTGGGGGGGGGGGGGGGGGGGGGGGGTGAAAGAAATTGTTTTAAGGTTTGAGGTTTGGATGGAGGTGGGTAGATAAATTAATTTAATTTTATAATATTCTTATTTAAAATTAGAAATTTAATTTATGATCTGATTTTTGCATAAAAAAACCTTTCAAATTTTATTATTTAAAATGGATCATAAAAAGTAGGGTACTGTGTAATTTCCTCAATTAAAAATAGAATTGATGGGGGCGGCTGATGACTTAATTAAGGCTGTTGAGAAATGGGTTAAATTGAGAATGAAGATTCTCGATGAAGCAAATGATGAGATTTTCAGGGTTTGAGAGCCCATTTGGCGTAATAAATAAGAATAATTTTTGCGTGCGTGTTTGTGTGTATTTTCTCGCTGTTTCTGTGTGACCGTTGGCGATCCACACTCACTGTGGGCTATGATTCCATGTGGTGTCTCCACATTTTGATATTTTAGGATTGTTAAGGATGCACATTGGCTTAGCCCTGTAATAATAGCCCATGAGCAGGCTCAAGGGCGAAGTCTGTACTCGACAAATCCCGAAAAATCCCTACGACCACTCATGTTGACTCCACCAAAGATTTTTTTCTTATATTGGGCAATCGCTCAATGGTTGTTGGTGCTCACCTCCATTCGTGCTCACCCGAATTTCTGAATCGATCATTGGGCGTGCTTGACATCATCATGCTGAATAACATTTTTTTTATATCATAATTAAATATTAATAAACTTTACTTATAGATTAATTAAATTATGTATGTCAATTTTATATTCAAGTCAAATTTCAACATTAAACGCATTGATAATTTTTTAAATAAATTCAAACCTTGGCTATTTTCTCTAATCATGCCGTTGCTCCATCATTTTTCTAGTTCGGTGGCGCCGTGGCAAAATGGAAGATTTTATGTCAAATCTAACTTCTATTAAAAAGCTCAATGAGTTGCCACTGTTGATGAAACAGTAAATGAATCCCAATTTATTGTACAAGAGAGAAGAAAATGACATCATTTTTGTCTATATATTTTTCCTGCTTTTCACTGTTGAAGTTCTTTTTTTACTTCTTTCTTTTTCTTCTTTAGCTCACGTCCATCCCGATTTTTGATCCTTATTTTCGACGAACATACTAAGCAACAATACTCTTTATTTTTAGGTACAACAATTTCTATTGATTGATTTACACAGTTGAAGAGGTGTATGAATTTAAATATCTCTTTCTAGTCCCCTTTCTTTTCAAAAAAAAAATAAAATTTGCAGGTTGTAATGGTTAGTAGTGTTTTCTTCGTATTTTTTTTATGAAATTGATTAAGAATTTGTTCCAAGTTGTATAAAAAATGCATATTTTCCTTTCCACCTTCTTGTTTATGTTGTATAATTAATTATTTTCCTAAAAAGTATTGCCCGATCTTAGCTGGGTAAATTGACGTTAATTTGGTAAATTCATTTTTGTTGAATACCGAGAAAATATTGCTTTAGTGTGATCTTTGATGTTAACTTGGTGAATTCATTTTTGTTGGAATACCAAATATTTAGTTTTGCTAATTTTATTGTGGATGCTTAAAAAAAAATTGGTCCACACTATGTGGAGTAACTTAGCACTTCGTGGGAGCAAAGTGCTGAGTTGCTCCCACAAAGTGTGCGGAGTTACGGACAACTCCGCACAAAAGTGCGGAGAGATCACGAACTGTGCGGAGAAAGTGTGCCGAGAGATCAACTTTCTCCGCACAGTGCGGAGAGTTTCTTTAAACTCTCCGAAGAGTTTACTTTAAACTCTCCCGGGAGTTCAAACTCTCCAGAGAGTTTGGATAGCTCTCCGGATAAACTCTCCAGAGAGTTTGGAGAGTTTGGAGAAAAAAAAAAATTTATTCTTTATTTTTTTCTATTTTATTTTTTATTTTTTCATATTACCATATTTTTTCACCAATGTTGAGTTATCTCCAAACTGTCCGGAGCTAGATTTTTTTTCCAAGTTTCTCTTTCTTTTTATTTTCTTTGGTTTTCTTAAATTTAAACTATTTGATTTTTTATTTTTTTAGTTTACTATTGATATATAATATATATGCATACATTTCTACATAAGAAACAAAAAAATAGCTTAACAAAAAAAAAAAATCTCTCCGAATTGTGCGGAGAGATCAACTCTCTTTGCACAGTACAGAGAGTTTGGAGGAAGGTGTTTCTCCAAACTCTCTGGAGAAACTCTCCACTCTTGGTTTTTTTTTTTTGGATTTTTTTTTTCATTTTATCTATTTGATTTTTTTTTTTTTAGATTACCATAGATTTTCACTAATGTCGAGGTATCTTCAAACTCTTTTGATGCTCCGCACACATCGAGCTACGATTTTTTCCCCATTTCTCTTTCTTTTTTATTCTCTTGGGTTTTCTTAAATTCAAACTATTTGATTTTTATTTTTTAGTTTACCTTTGATAAATAATATATATGCATACATTCCCACATAAGAAACAAACAAGAAAATAGCTTAACAAAAAAAAAAAAATTTTTTCCCCCCCCACAAAAAATTTGAGTTATCTCCAAACTGTCCGGAGCTAGATTTTTTTTCCAAGTTTCTCTTTCTTTTTATTTTCTTTGGTTTTCTTAAATTTAAACTATTTGATTTT